TAAAATTATTTGAAAAATATTGAAATGATTCTTACATGACTCAGATGATTCTAAAAACAAATGAAACGGCTTTCTTCAGATCATGAATTCCGCAAATATTGGCGTCTGAAAATTTAAGAAAAAATGAAGACAAAACCAGGAACTAGAGCCTACTATTTAAATGCTTATCAAGTTACGATGGACAAGTTTATTCTCAATATGTTGAAACTTGAATTTAATTTGTGATGCCGCCGAAAATAAAGTATGAATCGCGACAGCTAGTCGTGAGTAGCCGGCTGTAGGAAGACCAACGAATGAGGAGACGTTGATTTGATAGAAGTCAATAAAGTAATAGGTAAGGATTATGACGCTTTACAATCTATGTAAGAAAATATTTGTTGTTGAGAAATTGGGCGTAACAGAGACTCTGTCACAGAGTCTATTCGTTGTTGCAAGTCGAATGTTATCTACTTATATGTACTATATGACCGTAAGAACCAAGACCAGCCGCTAGCACTTGAGAATGCTCTGTTTCGAAGAAAAAACTGTCTCTCAAGATATTGGATAGGTCGGATTTCAAATATATGTGATCACTCTGAGTACATCCATAAACGTTCAACAGATACTAAAGCATTTGACAGATGTCATTTAGGTCTTGTTTACAAACAGCGATTTAGCAATAATGATTATGCTTGAAAAGTCATTAATGTTTAAGTGTTTATTTGCTTATTTAACACATTGTTGTGTAGTAATTATGATTAGTGTGCTTTTCTTATTTGTGTCTGAATTTCAGTTAAATACATAATATAATTCATGAAACTAAGCGGTTTGAATGGAATAATAATGCCAACAAATATTCACGAGTGAGTGATGAAAATGACGGTATTGTATGACAATAATGATTGTATAAAAAATTATGATGTTTTGAGCATAAGTATGGTTAAAGTACTCTTCTATCTGTGTCATCAAATGTTTTGCGAATGCAAAAAATTACCGATATTTCATGTCTTATTGTGTATTAAGCGATTAATCATAATATACCAAAAGATGCCGCCAGTTGCTATAAGATCTGTTGCACTCAATATTTNTCTACCTCTAAGATTCGATCACGAAAAATATATTTTGTACAAAACTTAAACTTCAGACTTTGCTCTTTCCAACAAAAAAACATTTAACTAGTTTAGAAGTTCGCAAAGTGATTTAATACACTCAGACATTTGTGCAAAGACTTTTGCATCGCATGTTATACATCATGTGTTGATGCGAGTATGTGTGCAGTTTTTTGATAGAAACTATATATTGAATAAACCGTATCGATTGGGATATAACAGATACACTTGACTTTCTTAGTGTTCCAGCTTTTCTTTTCGCAATCATCAGAGCTTCATCGCTTACTCGACATCTTAGTTTCGTGAATGTATCAGGTTCTTGTCCAAAACTGTAAACGTTGAACAAACTCGGAAAAACTCTTTGAGTTCCAGTCTTATGTGAAAGCTTTTTTAGTCTAACTAAAAAAAGCTAACTATTCCTTAGATGCCACCAACTGACCGTATGTTTTTCATGCTTCTGGTTCATATATTAAATTCTTCTATTTTCGCTCTTTTAGGTTCTCGTCACAACTGTTTCTCGAACAACTGCCCTGAAAAAAAAGGTACTCTACCAAACCCATCAAAAAGGTTTCGTAAGTGTCGAAAGCTTGCAAATGTGTCGACGTGTTCAAAAAAATGCTTTTCAAAATCTGCCAAACCAAAAAAAGATCGGTCAGCGGGCACACGCTCCGAACCCTCATCACGGAACCTTTTTAAGTTTCGCACGCACCCAATAAACGTTCGTCAGAAAATACGGAACCTTAAGGTTTCGCTCTATGGTTTTATACGAATCTAAGAAGGTTTCGTATTTTATGACGAAACCTTAAAAGGTTCCGTGATGAGGGTTCGGAACGTGTGCCCGCCGACCGATCCTTGTTTGGTTTCGTAGATTTTTGAAAAGTATTTTTTTGAACATGTCGACAGATTTTCAAGCTTTCGACACTAACGAAATCTTTTTGATGGGTTTGGTAGAGTACCTTATTTTTTTCAGTGTGCTCTTTCGCAACAATCCCTGTGCAATGCACTAATCTGATCAAGTTATTAGAATGGTCGGATCTACCTTTGTGCAATTGATTTCACTGGTCAATCAGCTGCACAATGGTTGGATCTACCTTTGTGTAATAGATTCCACTGGTTAACCACAGGAAATACTGTTTGATCAATCAATGCAGGACTTCATTCAATTAGTGAATTACTTTTATTTACGTTTTACAGTACACGATACCAGTATGTGAAGGCTGGAGTCCATGGGGTGGAAAATCTCAAATTATTACCAGTTTTCAAAAATAACGTTCTAAAATTTTCATAATCAGGAGTCATGAAAATTTTTAAAAATTCATATTGTCTGATGTTATTTATTTGAAGTGAGATGTTCTAAAATTTCCGATATCGTTTGAAAACTATAACTGATTTAGTTATACTCATTCAAAGTATCAGATATCAGATATTTGTGTCAGAAAATTTCAAATTCCAACTGATAATGAAGAAATCAATGATAGTCTGTCATCCATGCCTAGAAAAAGGCAGAAACTCAGCAGATATCATATATTTACTTTTCTCCGAAAATTTTGAAGTGACAAGTTTGCAAATCATATTTCGATGGATAATATACATCATTGAAGTCATACAAATATTACGTCATAAATTCTCCTCATCTATTCCAGTGTTTCAGACTTAAAAGCCGTCCAGTTCCGTCATCTGATGAGAGGATGGCATGAAAAGTTTCAAAAGATTTATTTAGAACAAAGCAATGGTAAAAAAATCCACCAGTTTCGAATTTACTGTAAAGATTGGTCTTTGAGAGTAAGGTAAGGATGAGCTATTCAGTGCGAAGGGGCAAATATGTAAAATCAAAGATCACTATGTGGATATGATTTATTTGTTAATGCATTTCATAGGAGATTCATCGGATCCTCGTTTATTATATTGTGTCTGACACCCTGAGCCATTATATAACGTATACTGGGACATAGATATCTTGGTTTCTTATATACTATATGGATGTCTCTGTTTCAGAGGCTCCGAATCATCCTGTATTTTGAAATTGGAATGCATTATGAAATAAAATCTTCAACTCTGAATTTAATCACATAGATTTATATAGAAAGATGTTCAAAAAACGTTACTGATTAAATTCTGTTTGAGGCTTATTTTATCAATGTCGTGGTAGAACTCAGCAGATCTTGAAAGAGTCATCACATGATGTATCTGTACGTATGTATTTCAGCAATTGTTTATACTTAAAATTATTTGAAAAATATTGAAAAGGTTCTTACATGACTCAGATGATTCTCAAAACAAATGAATCGGTTTTCTTTAGATCATGAGTTCCGCAAATATTGGCGCCTGAAAGTTTAAGAAAAAATGAAGACAAAACCAGGAACTAGAGCCTCCTATTTAAATGCTTATCAACTTACGATAGGCAAGTTTATTCTCATATGTTGAAACTTGAATTTAATTTGTGATGCCTCCGAAAATAAAATATGAATCGCAACAGCTAATCGTGAGTAGCCGGCTGTAGGAAGACCAACGAATGAGGAGACGTTGATTTGATAGAAGTCAATAATGTAATAGGTAAGGATTATGACGCTTTACAATCTATGTAAGAAAATATTTCTTGTTGAGAAATTGGGCGTAACAGAGACTCTGTCACAGAGTCTATTCGTTGTTACTAGTTGAATGTTATCTACTTATATGTATATGACCGTAACAACCAAGACCAGCCGCCAGCACTTGAGAATGCTCTGTTTCGAAGAAAAAACTGTCTCTCAAGATGTTGGATAGGTCCGATTTCAAATATATGTGACCACTCTGAGTACATCCATAAACGTTCAACAGATACTGAAGCATTTGAAAGATGTCATTTAGGTCTTGTTTACAAACAGCGATTTAGCAATAATGATTATGCTTGAAAAGTCATTAATGTTTAAGTGTTTATTTGCTTATTTAACACATTGTTGTATAATATGATTAGTGTGCTTATCTTATCTGTGTCTGAATTTCAGTTAAATACATAATATAGTTCATGAAACTAAGCGGTTGGAATGGAATAATAGTGCCAACAAATATTCACGAGTGAGTGATGAAAATAACGGTATTGTATGACAATAATGACTGTATAGAAAATTATGATGTTTTGACAAGGGGGAAACAGCGGATTATTGATTAATGTTGATTATATTGATTATATGTGATTAGTGTTGATTATTATTGATTAGGGTTGATTAGTAAGGGTAAGGGAGTTGAATAAATGCTTTTTGTTATTTAAAGTAACTTGTATATTTTGCTTGCTGTAAAAGCAGCCGAATTAGAAGTTTTCATAAGTTTCTTTAGAGTATCGCTATTAACTATTACAATGACCCGAAAAGCATTGTTTTATTTTTCGCAGCATTATTGTTCTTTCGGTTTTAACACGATATAACAACAACAAGCTCATCTATTTCTTGTTCCAATGCAAATGTTCGCACAAAAAAGGGAAAAAAATTAATCAGTTTTTGACGATTGAATAACCCGTGACAGCCGATTAGCAGACAAACTAGTAGTATCATTTGTCAGTAGATAGCAAGCAGTGGATTTATGTAGCAGCTTATCTGTTTCATTAATTTTGATCTTGAAATACGAATTTTCCTCGTGTAAAGATACTTTCTCTTTGATGTTTAAACCATGAAAATTTTTTTGAGTGTTGTTAGTTGTTCTTCGTCGACATTTTCGTCGTCATCGTCATCATCCCCCTCGCTGCTAATTGATTCATCAGACGTAGAGTATCCGTGAAAAGTATATAACATGAGAACGTAGCTCAAATTTAAACTAATCTTCTTTTCGAAAATTCTTTTATGCAGTTTGTCATGATGCTCAAATCATGAGAATTCTATTCAAGTATACGCAGAAGAAAAGTTTCACAAACAACGTATAATGTTGTTAACAGCGTATAGCTTACGTAGAGCTTCCTTCGTCGTCTCCATCACTATCGAGATCAAATTCTGAGTCTGATTCATTGTTCTGACTTTCAAGAATTTGTATATTGTCATGTAACCTTGACTTGAATTTGAGATGTTCGTTTAAATATTCACTTAGTGCATCCATATGAAAAACATTGTGTTTTTTCAACAACTAAAACATGAAAATTGCCAATAAATGTAAATTTCAAAGTGTTTTCCATGAACCAATGCAAATTAATCTTTTTATTTCACTTCGGAAGACGTTGCATAACATGACAAAAGAGTAAAACACGAGTGATAGATAGCTTACATATGAAATATTGAGACTCTCGGTAATGGACGAAGCTGACTGATAAGCTTGTTGAACTACACGTTCTACATTCAAATTACTGACATCAATCAAAGTTCGATTGTTGATTGTTTTGTTATCGTGTGAATGTTTATGATGGATTGGGAACTTCAGTACAGATGTTGATTTGTTGTTAGATTTAATTGTATTCAAAATGGAAAGTTTGTTTGATCGTTTCAGAAAATTATCAACGGTGCAATTCACAACTGTTGAGAAAACTCCGCTCATTGAACGAGTACTGCGAAAAACAGATTCGCATGTTTGAGACGAAAATAAGTGTATATTTAATGATTCCAATGGCAATTGTTGTTGTTGGACAAGAAGAACGAGATAGGTAAGGAAATGTGCATTCAGTTCTGTAGAAAAAAACGCACTTCGAGTAACAAACTCTCCAGAATTATTTCTAGACTTCGAACTGGACGAAGATAAAGATAACAAGCGCACCAGTAGTAACCACACCCACCACAGGCGAAGAAGAAAAACGGCAGTCCAAGCGCCTTTAACGCCTAAACACCAATGACAAACGTATAGATAAAGACCTTTCGTTTATATCGCAATTTGAAGAGAGTTATATGTCTGCTTGGCAGGAATGATTAAGACAATTAGCAATATTTTGTAGTCATATTCTCGAGAAAATTGTCAAGAAACTATTTTTTCGAGTGAACTCAAGAGTTCCATCCAAAAATGACTTCTAATTTTAGGACAGCAGATCAGCATAGTCAAAAAAAGGATTGTAAAGAGCATGTGTAAAAATAAAAAATAAAAACATACGTTCTTCAATGGAGGTTTCTGGTTCAATGTACGAAGTGATAATAAGTTTAATTAGTTGCAGATACATACGAGTTCCATCAGCACCAGGTTGACAAGCTAGAAGATATAGCACGTCAGAAGATGTAATTCTTAAACATGATCGAAAATTTTGTCTATCGGATGGTTTAATATCAGTTTGCGTCAATCTGTGATCTAATTTTGTAGTTTTTGAATCATCAATTATCTGTTGCAAGTGTTCAATTGTTATGTTCGCGTCCCCAATTCGCAAATCAGCTGTTCTCGACAGCATACGATTACGTAACTTTGTTACCAAATGTGTCGCATCTTGGATAAACAAAAAAAGTTGCTCAGGTCTTAGGTAAAACCAAGACCAGTTGCCAATCTGCGTCGAAAATGCTGAAGAATCAGCTTGTGGGCTGAAATGCGGCATGCTTGCATAGAATCCAGACATTAAACGCATCGCTCGCATATATTTATTATCAGCATCTAAGACAAAATGTAAAAGGAAAACATTTAATTATGAATATTATATCTTGTGTTTCGTCGATATATTATTTGACTAACAAAACTTTCTTCAATGAATACTATCGATTTACTCGATTGCATGTACAAAGACATGCTTTAACTAAGCTCAACGCTAAAGAAATTTCATTCGATTTAGTAGTAACTGAACTCAAATATTTGTTCATTTCGCAAATTGTGATAGAAACTACTCACAAGAAACTAGTTGGTAACGACTCTCAATATTTGTGAATGAAGGAATTCTCAGATTGTTGAAAAGACTTCAATTTACCAGTGGAAAATCCGATGATTCGTACGTTCTGTTCAAGTGATTTCCTGTGAATGAATAGCCATCGTTGAAGGATATCTAATGATGTATATTTACTACTGGTACCATAACCAGACAAGAGAAAACTAGGTGGTGTTATTGTTTGATTGGCTGCTGGAATAGCTTGAACACAATGAACGTTCAGTAGTGGAGCCTTTTCGTTTGAGTCCATCCACATGTTCAATTCACCGAAGGAATCTGTTTTAAAATAACCTGGTATTGGTACACCATCAGACATAGGAGTTGAGAAACCAATAAAACTGTCTGTATTTGTATCATATTTGATCTTACGTATGACACCTGTACCTATATAATGTTCGAAAAGATGAGTATCATAAACTTCATTTTCATTTAGCTAACTAAAACTGCTCGCTTCACTCTCGCTGACAGTGGAACAAAAGTCATCTAATTAGGAAGTTTTGAATTTATAGACATCGTACGTAATTTATAATTTTATAAACAAGCAAATGAAGAAGTTTTCAAAGCTATTGAAAATGTAACATTGAAGTATGTTATCTGTCGCATTGGGTTTAAGTATTGAAACATTCAATTGCTAGAAATAACTATGTTATCTAGTTTATTTTCAGCTTCAGCACTCAACGAAACGGAATTTTGTGGAACTCACATTATTTTTCGAAGAAAAATAGTGAGTGTAAGTTTTATATCCAGGATCTTTGGACCCCCCCCCCCCCCATTGAACGGCCGTATATATCTATTGCATACAGACGCTNAACATAAAGGTCGAGGCCTTCAACTTTCTGGCATGAGCAAGTGTTTATTTTAAATTGATCTTTAACCATATCATAGACGATCTTTTTCGACTCTTAAACCCACTCAAAGTAGTGTTTTTCGACTTTCCAAAATTTTGGGAAAATATGTTTTTTTTACTCTTGAGTCTGACCCTATCACCCCTTTCCTCGACCAAGATCTAGCCTCAATGCTCGTCGCTAGCTATGTTTTATCAAGTTTCCAGCATTTTCAAAAAATATCTCATTTCATCTTTAACCCTGACACAGGCAAACAAACTATTTTTTTCATATAACTCTCCTTTCAGTCGCGGGGGAATTAACACTTTATCCCGAAGGATTAACAGAAAAATATGCATATTATTTTCCTAATATTGATTTTTTTTCACTGGAAGATACATATGGAAAGTATAATGTTTTTTTTCTCGATAGAACCTTTAGAGTTAAAGTATCTTCAAACAATGGTTAGTTTATCAAATATCAAACATTTGACTCTATCAGGTCATTTTCAATCTAAAACATCCCATATATTGAAAGAATTGTTCAAATCCGCAACACAATTATCATCATTAGAAATCAAATGGTCCGATTGAACATGTTGGTTTAACGATCATGGGCTGTACAAATATTTTAATGAATCTATTGAAAAATTGGAGATTCATGATGGTTCATTTGAAAATTCAAATCAATGAAACCAATTTTGTACAATATTTGCTAGTCTTGAACAACTTCAATGCCGCTTTGATAAATCGCCTACTTTATTTTTTATCAAACATGTACCTAAATTATTCTACAGGGTGTTAAATAATCATTACGTTCCCCTCTCCCCTTTCCAACCTTAAGAAAAGATAGTACCCCAACAATTTTATACTAAATGAAAGCTCGTGAAAAACTGAATCTAGGGGTACGGTCTGAGAAAGTACAGTTTGTAAAACTCTTACAATACTAGATTCGACGCATCATTTTGTCATACATAACCCAGCATCATGTCAACAGAAATAATACAAAGAATCTTCTTACACTATTCAAATTGCCTGTTGATACGTCGTAATTTTCGTTGCTTCTATAGTTTTCATTAAATGTAGAGTGTATTAGAGCAATATGTCATGTATTTTGCGAGGTTCTTATTTACTAATGCTATGTTTAACTATCACGTAGTACGTACGCGAGCTGAATAGTATGTTTATTGTGAAATGTAAAAAGCCATACTGTTAATAGTTGTTAACGAGAAAGGTATAAAATCGATTTTTCTCCAAGAATGAGACAATCAAGAGATGGTTTGAGATCCCCTTTTGGGGAACTCCCATTTTTTTTCGAAGAAAAATAGTGAGTGTAAGTTTTATATCCAGGATCTTTGGACCTCCCCCCCCCCCCCCCACCTCCATTGAACGGCCGTATATATCTATTGCATACAGACGCTGGATTAACAAGGGATCCTAGCAACCACAGACGCTCCATTAGCAAGCAGCTATAGGCGCTATAACAACATAAATGCGGACAAGTTGTGCTGGTTTTATGAGGTTGAGAGTTTGATACCGAGTGTAATCCGTAACTAGTCTATTTTCATCCACACTCTCTTTCTCGAAACATAAGTATGTGAGTTCCACATTTTAGCCCCAAAGGGGCTGCGCTGACAAGCTTTTTTTAGCAAACTTGCTTTTCATAGCAAAATCGAACCAAAAAAATCTAATGAACATTATTCAAGAAAAATTACAATCTTCTGCACAAAATGCATGATGTACACCAAAAGAATTGAGGCAACTTGCCATCTGGTTGAACCGAAAGTTAGCTTCTGGTATATTTTCAGGATTACTTTGTATTAAGGAATGGATCGTTGTTAAATTCGGCAATGCTCCAGGCAAGTTTAATCTCACAAAGTCATAAGTCGTCCTTCCTCCTAATATATACAGACACGCTGCGAACTCTTTCAATTTATCATCGTATCTTCGTTGACTTGTTTGAGATACATATAAATTCCTTGTTATGGTATTTATAAATAATGACAGAAATTCAAGTTGATCATTCGATGTATTTTCATTTTGATAGAAGTTAAGAAGTGAAACAAGAATTGGATGCTTTTGAAGTAAAACGTCTATTTTTTTCTGAAGAAAGAGATGAAGACGGTGATGGTGATGTTGTTGAAAGTTTATGATCTAGTTTCAGCTTCAGTAACTTTGTGAAATATTCGTATTGTATTTTCAATGCACCTTTTATTTGAAATGTTCCATCTGTCATTTGGAACCCGATTCTCGATTTTAAATCGTTCAGTGTTGTCGAGTCGCGTTGGAATAATTCGAAGATGTCTTTTGTTTATGAGAACATGAAAACTGAGTCAATGCCTTGTATTTCAAGTATCTCAGTGAATAATTCACCACACATGCTTTTTGTTAACCGATAGAAATCGTCTCCTCCCAAGTCCAGAACGTTTTCTGGTAAACAATGAATATCGTATTTATTCACAGTCGCATTCATAGTTGGGCTGTTCAATCTCAGTTAAACGAGAGGAATCTAAAAGAAAAAAATGATCTCTGATCTGTAGATAATACAAACAGAGAATAGCAGGCGTGAAATATACTTCGCTCTGACAATATCGCAGCTGCGATATTTAAAACAAAGATTAAGTTATCCCTGTAGTAGAACGAGATTATGAAACGGAATATTTTCTCTACAAAGTATTGTACATTTTAAATGGTTTCTTATTATTATCCACTGCATCAAATTGAAGTTAAAAATGATGAGCTTCAGTGATTATCAACTGAAATGCGTTCCAATCGAGCTCGTCGATGCAAAGTGACTAGTATTGGATAAAAATCAAGTCTTTACCGTCTGAACGAAACAGATAATGCTTGTTTTTCTTGAACGGCAATAGATAGAACGACAAACTTTCTCTTTTTCCATTTAAGCTTGATAGAAATAGAGAACGTGACCTTGAATTAAAAGAAAACAATTTACATATTTTTCCAGGATACTATGTGCATTTAAAGAACTGAACATCTTTTCTTTTTAAATATTGAATCACATGGTCACTCTCCTCTGTCTGGGCAATTGGTAGTCAAACTGTTAGACTAAATACAAGGAAAGGAAAGAGAATGAATACTGATCGAGACATAGGCAATGGGCCAGTATTTTTCTCTCCAATCTCCTCGTGTCTGTCTTGTCCAGTCTGATGCTGGACGACGAGGTATGTCTGGATTTAAATATTTTTTCTCGATCTCGTTTCCACGTTTATTGTTTGGAAAATTTCGTAATTACTTCCATCTAACTAAAAGGACCATACAGTCGATTTGTGTAACAGTCATTTACGAGATGTCTCTCTCAAATGTTCCAAAACTTCAAGAACTATTTTTTCAACCATGGAAATTACCACTGGAGACGCTAACGTTCGTGGATAAGGACTTTTACTTGCTGATTGAACATCTTGTTGGTCCATCACTGTCGAGATTGCTTAAGGTGCAAGAAATCAACTCTGTTCCAATTCTTCTGCTAACAGCAGATGTATTTCAACATTTATTTTTGAACACTAATGATTTCGAAATAAATTTATTACGTGACGAATTGTTATTAAAAGTAAACAACGATCAGTTGATCGTCAAAGACGCCAATTGTACTAAAATGCGATGCTTATTGAATATTTTACATGTAGCGAAAGAACGCAAATCGAAGCAGTCTCAAAGAATTATACCAAAAAGTCAAACGAACTGTGACTCATCTTTAGTTTCCTTACCAGCAATGAACGCGACCACCACGGTCGCAACTTCCACCTTTACTCTTGATGACCAAAGAAACCACTTACTTAAATGCATCGGTGATTGGTCATCTTTGAACGACAACTTTTTAAATTTAACGAATTTTAAATTAGAAGACGGTGTGAATTTCAAACTAAATTTAAAAGGAACTACAAATGGATTTCATGCAATGATCGAATGTCAATGTAAAGTGCCCATGTAAAAAAAATACCCCAAAACATCGGATGAAAATCGATTTTTTGAAAAAAATCCATAAAATCTGATTAAATCCCGCAATTCTGATTAAATACACGAGAAAAACAGATTACCACCGA